CATATGCAAAAATCGTTAAAGATCAAATGGGCATTGACCTCGATATCGATAAAATTGCACCAAATCCAGGTAAAAGAGCTGTGGCTAAAATTTGCCTTAATTCTCTTTGGGGGAAGTTTTCCCAGCGGGTTAATTTAATTCAGAGTATTTTCATCACAGACCCGAAAAGCTGGTACAACATACTACTCGATGATAAAATTGAAATTTCTAATTGTATTTTTTTAAATGATGACATGGTCCAGGTTACATATAAATACAAAGAAGTGTTTGTAGAAGATTCTACATCAACAAATATATTTATAGCCACTTTCACAACCTCTAATGCCAGGCTAAGATTGTATGAAATGCTTGATAAATTAGGAGAAAATATTGTATATTACAACACAGATTCAATTATTTATATTGATGATGGTTTAAATACAGTCAAAACAGGTGAAATGTTAGGTGAGTGGTCTGATGAGTTGGGTGAGGATGACCATATTGTCGAGTTCTTATCTACTGGTCCTAAAAGTTATTATTATAAAACTCTAAAGGGCATAGAGGTTACTAAAATTAAGGGCTTTACTTTAAACTACGAGAACTCTGAGATGCTGAATAATAAAGGTATGTTAGAGGCTATTAACAACCCTTCTACGGAAATTAAATTAGTTTATGATCAAATAACCAGAAATACCTGTACCAAAGACATTGTGACTAGGAAGCGTGTATCTAAAACGTTTCGTATGGATTATAAAAAAAGGCGTACTGTTGATCCGGATGTAGACGATGTTCTCAATACTGTTCCTTGGGGTTACTAAATATTAAGTTAAAAAATTATATTTTCAAAGTGTAAAATCTCTAAAATATCAAATAGGAAACTCAAAAAAGTTAGTAATTAAATACGAAGCTCACAAAGTTAGTAATTAAATAATATTTAAAAAAAAGTACGTTACTAATGTAAACTTTAGTTGAACAAACAATCAGCTGTTTTCACGGCTTCCTTATTTATCCTCTCCTTATATTTAGTAATATAAATCACAACCTCTCAACAAATAATTAGGCATAGGTAACTTGTTAAAACTTGCTTAAAACAATTAAGATGCCAAAATTATAAAAAACCATTAGGTAAAATTAAAAAAAGAGCTATATAAGGTTTATTCGAGCAACAAGTTCTAAACTTAAAAAAAAACATGGCCGTAGGTATAGGTAACTTGTCTAAAACTTGAGCCTATACAATTACGTAGTCAAAAAAAAAAAAAAAAAAAAAAAAAAAACAGGGCCGTAGGTATAGGTAGCTTGCCTAAAACTTGAGCCTATACAATTACGTAGTCAAAAAAAAAAAAACAGGGCCGTAGGTATAGGTAGCTTGCCTAAAACTTGAGCCTATACAATTACGTAGTCAAAAAAAAACAGGGCCGTAGGTATAGGTAGCTTGCCTAAAACTTGAGCCTATACAATTACGTAGTAAAAAAAAAGTGCCATATATAGGTAGCTTGTTTAAACCATGTGTTATTAAGATATCAATAACGATAAAGAGGTTTTGATTTATATTACTAAATTCCTCCCTTTCCCGGCAAAGACTTCTCGTGGCCTTTGCTGTTCAGTTTTATACTGACTGATAAACACACCTCCCTTTCATTATTATTCAAATTTTTTAAAAGTCTTTAAGTTTTATTCTAATTCTTAGAAGGGGAAATAAAATCTAAGACTTGATGATGATTCAATTCGAAACTAAGGTATCATTACTAAGAATTTTAATTATTCAAATTTTTAAAAGTCCTTTAAGTTTTATTCTAATTCTTAGAAGGGGGAAATACAATCTAAGACTTGATGATGATTCCGCACGATGCACAGGCGTTCTTCTTAGACTCTAATACTGAACTTTTGATTGTTTCCTTCACGTATTCATTGAGCAATGTGTCCTTGGTTATTACAGTTTCTATACTAACCAATTACGGCCCCTTTGGCAGCAGCGTGTATTCTTTAAAGATTTCTACGATTTTCTATTCCTTTTTTTGTGATTTTACATGTCACCCTTTCAACGTATCACTCTTCTTCTCCAGTAGTTTTTTGTTCTTCGTCTTAGGCCTGTACATGATTTCTAGGTATTATTCAATGTTTAGGCCTTTTTTTTGGCTTCTCGTATCAATAAATTTTAAGGCTGTCTATGAATTTCGTTGATTTTCTACGACTGTCACCCTTTCAACGTTCTATCCTTCCTTTTCTTTTTCAGTGGTTTCTTTTTCATCTTGGGTCTACACTGTTGTGTTTCTTCAACGTCTCCCATTTGTCTTTCCTTGTCTTACCCTATCCTCCATGTATCAGTTGTCATTCTTTAACATGTAGGTCATGTATAAGCAGAAGCTTTGCTTTGAATTTCTATGATTTTCCAAAGATTTTCTATGATTTTTAGCGCTTTGATTAACTATATTAATTTTTTAATAATTCATAATTTTATGCGCAGATACTTGTTGCATTTTAATTTTTTGTTTCAAAGGTATTTGCGTTCTTGTTTTGTTTCAGCTCGGCAACTTTCTATCCAGGCTCAGATGCACTTATTTTTAGTAATGACTCCTATGGTCTTTTTACCCCTGTAGGTTTACTTGAGAGATTACCAACGCCCTATATTTTAATCAACAAGTAGGTGAAAGGTGAAAAATTGGGTCTTATTCCAACATTCTATTGCCTCATGAACTTTTTGGTACACTCTGTATTGCTACTATTTTAAAAATATGTTTACAATCAAATGCCAGGAAATATACTGATAACAATTTCCGTAACAATACGATTTCTAAAATAAATATACCTATTCATTTATAGTTTAATTTTGTCGAGTGCATGTGCAATGATAATTAAAAGTATCATCTTTTGAACTGTTTATATTATATCGGTTGAATAGTTGGGTACTTGAAATTATATATTGTTCTTATCATCATCTCAACATGTGATTCAGTGATGTGCTCGGTGATGTGTTAAGTGATTTTTATTTGGATACATCAAATAATTATGTGAGTACTAGCTTTTACAATTTTTGCTTCGGCAAAAAACTAAACGCTGCTGCAAAGTTTGTGACGTCACCATTTCTTTGTTATTTTTACTTTTGATATTCAATCCCCCTTTGTATCATTTTGACAGTCGACATTGTTGACAACGTCGATGTCTTCCTTGCTGTGACAAGTGGCTGTTGTTCTCTTCCGCCCCTTCCCCACCCGTTGACATGTCCATCTGGCATCGAAGTGTCGTGGCAAAATGCGATGTTTCGTGGTGTCATGTGTGTTGCCTAATTATTTAAATAGGTCTACGTTGTCTACCGTTCATAAGACGTTTTTCGGTAATTCTTGTTTTATACGACGAAGTTTTATACATATAAACGATAAAGTTAATTTATAAATTCTATCTATCGATGTGGGGGCCGCTCTGGGGGCCCTGCGTTGCCTAGGGCTTTTCTGTCGCTCTATGTCTTTGGAAATACTTGCCATCTACTTCATGTAATGCAATTTATAAAATACTGGGGGGCTCTAGGGCTTTTCTTGTGCTCGATGTCTGTAATGCAATTTATAAAATACTGGGGCTCTAGGGCTTTTCTTGTGCGACGTTGCATTTATCTGTGGCTTTTCTGGCGATGTCGATTTTGAGGTTATGTATGAGACACTAGAAGGGTTGGGGCCCCAATTTGCTTTGAGGGGCGGAGCCCCCTGTTTGATGATTGTCCGTTAAGTTCAAGGCCACAAAAGAAGAATGACAGTTGACAGTTCCGAAAAAAAGAAGAAGATTCTTAGCTAATGACAGTTGACAGCCCAGAAAAAAAGATTCTTAGCCAACTTCACGTTCTATGATTGGCTGTTTGTATGAGAAGTTTGAGGCCAGTTGACAGTTGACAGCTCAGAAAAAAAGAAGAAGAATGCGTAGCTAACTTCACTCTCCAGTGCGCTCAAGTGGCTTACCTTCTACTGATGAAATATTCTGGGAATGTCGCTGAGGCTCGAGAAACGGGTAGAACGGACGGAGTGTGCCGTTGAGTCAGAATTGGAATTTTCCCGACCATCAGGATTATTCTGGTTACAGAGTTGGCTTGATATAAATATCGCGTGTGTGAAGACGGCGGTCAGTTGATTATAGACAGTTTTAATATAGAACATTGTATTGGAAAGTTAAAGTGTAAGAAATAAATTGGAATTGTTAGTTAGTATTACATAAATTAAATAGTACGTCTGAAATAAATTTTGAAAATAGTGTGTTTTAAACAAATAAACTAAAAATAAATTAGACTTTCGTCACAAAATGGAAAACTGACTTGCGAAGTACACTCGAAATATTAAGACATGTTGTAAGGTTCGATTAATTTTTTTTGATAAATCTAATAAAAAAAAAGTTTTCTATATGTAGCCAACTTACACGGTTACGCTGTACATAAAAAATGTATTAAAATAAAAATTAAATAGCTAGCCGAGGTAGGTACACTATTATTTATCAATCTAATTATTATATAAAAATTAAATTATACTTTTTTCAATAATTTTAAGTTTAAGCCGAAAGCACCTTCTCAGGTTAATCTAGAGGTGACATTCATTATAATACTATAATATTGGTACTGATCCTTGAACGCCCGAGTTGCGAAGGGTATTTAAACTACCTGTAGCCTTACGCCCGAAATGCGAAAAATTAAGTATTCCGCTCGAGTTGCGACGCCCCAGATGCGCATAAATCCTTTAAACTCTGAAAGAGCATCTGTTAAATTAATAATGACGTTTTTCATTTATTCCTAATGTTCCGCGTAAAATAAAGCTGCATCAAGCCATGTACCCCACCGGGTTATTATTGGTTTTGGCGGTAGCGGGAGATCTGGAAGATTTTATTTATAAAATTGGATTCTTAGTGGAGATTTAAGAAAAACTTATTTAATGTTACTTATCAAATTATTAGCGATTGGAAACTGAGATCTAATACATTCCGCAACTCTATTTATACCGTGAGCCACACACGTTACATGGATAAGGTGCTCATAAAAAAATTTTTTGCCTCTTTAATCACAATAAAAGTATACATTTACTAGAAGAGACAAGATCTGGTAAAAAATGTAAGTATCCTGTACAAATCTAGTCACAGTTAAATTGTTTGTTTTTTCAAGGTGCTTGGATGATATGACGTGTGTTTTCCCTAGTTTATCTTCATGTAGAACTTCAGATAATAAATGTGCAATACATCTTCCACTAAAATTGGTAATTTCATCAATTACAATATAAAAGTTGTCAGATATAATATTTTTTATACACACCATTGTGTCTTTATAAATACAATCGGCATGCATTTTTCTTAGTGTATATTCATCTTGTGCATTGACTTTGCAATAATTTTGCAAAAATGACTTTAAATTTACATTATTTAACTTATTTAAGGGCATATCTGCTGAAATCATTGCTTTGCATGAATCTTCAATAAACTGCATTTGGTTGTTTTTCTACGAACTTTGTTGAATACAACTTTTTAAAGTTTGTTGTGGTCTTGCGCCTTCTTGCAATTTTCGCAATGCTGCAATGTGTTTTGATGTTCTTACATGTTGATCCACGATGCACTTTTTGTCGGAGTTGATCTTAAACAACAGAAAAACGCAAGTTAAATGGTTTGCTTGTTAGGACATGCCATGAGAAATTAAATATATGTATAGAAATTTTTAAACAAGAAATATTTAGGCATCATAAATTAAATGGAAATTAAATTAGTATGAAGGTAGGTAAAGCGTATATGTATAATAGGTACTTACAATTTTTGAGCAGGCTGTGCAAAATATATTGCCGCCGTTCCATGAAAGCTCTGGATGCTCCTTTATGCACAATTGTTTCAATTTCAAATTTGGCATTTTCTCGATAAATGTATTCCTTACACTGATAAAATAATTCAGGACAACCCAAGACCGAACAAGACACGAAATGAACTTCAGCTTTTCAACATCTTAAAATCTAAATTCTTGTTTACATACTTATCCCCCTACACAAAGCTTACAGGTTTTTCCAAATTGTAAAATCATCTATAATGTTATCCTACGGGCCAGGTTAGATAAGGGATTAATCTCTAATATAGGTAATAAAAATAAATTACCTCATTTAAATATTCTTTTAAGAAATGGATTATAACCACCCGCTGAGTTTACTACTGATACTTTACTCGGGATTGAAAATAAAAAATTAATGCAACATTTCTGAATTTATGAAAAAAGTGCAAAAAATTAAAACTGCATTTTAAAAATTATGCCAAATGTGTGGAAAATTTGAAAAATGCAACATTTCTTAATTTGTAGAAAAAAAATGCAAAAAATGAAAACTGCATTTTTTCCGGTCTTGCATATATCTTATTTTGATCGATATAGGTAACAGTTGTTTTGTTTATCTTGTTTTCCAGATAAGGTTTGAGGAACGACCATTTTAAATAGTTTACCAAAATTGTATAGTATAATAGTAGGTCAATTGTTTTATGTTTTCAATTGAATCACTCTATATCAGTTAATATATAGATTTGTTCCCTTTCTGCACGCTTCTCTAAAATTGAAGCAAAAATGTGAATGGTATTAAATGTAATCGATTCAAAAGAAAATAATGTAGGAGCCATGATAGATAATAATAATAAAGGTCTTTATTTTCCTTTCAAGTTACATAACTATTTACAAATAGTAAAAAAGCAATCATAACGAAACAAGAAAAAAACATGCTGAAGATCAGATGACCATGATTTCAATGAAATTATCGCCTCTGTTTTTTTATCTTAAGCATCTAATTACTAAAAAAAGTTTCAAGAAATATTATTACAGAATTATTCATTAAATGACATTATCGAAGGAAATTCTAAAAAAAAGAAAAACAATAAAATAGAACATTATGAGAGAACATTGTCAAGAAACATTATCAAGTAACATTGTCAAGGGACATTATCAAGCAACATAATTTGTGAACATTATCAAAAGGCATTTTCCAAAAAGCATCAAATAGTATTATCAAAAATGCCTCAAATAACTTTATCAAAAAAATAAAATTATCAAACATTAACAACATTATGAAAGAATATTATTAAATATTACCAAATAACTCGATGAACGATGAGTGACTTTTTAAAGAGGAGTTTTCCGCGATAGAAAATGATGCCAAACGCCAAGTTACTCGTTTAAAAGTGTATGTTTAAATGATTTTATGAATGCGGTGTAGATTTTAATTTTAATTGATTTGGTAAAGCGTTATATATTTTTGATATTTGGTATATAAAGGAGCGTTTATATTTTTCTGTACGGTGAAGGGGAGCTGTTATTATGTGCCTTTATTGAGTATTTAGGAGATGCGTATCAGAACCGTATTTAACTTTATTATATAAATAAACAGGTAATAACTTTATGGAATAGACAAGCAGCGTGAAGTAACCTTCGTTTTGCCATATTTAGCCAATTCAAAGTTTTTAATTTATGGGATATAGGTTGTCGTCTTCTAATTTCACAAATTTGACGAAGACATGAGTTCTGCATGACCTGAATTCTCCTTTTGTCAACTGGCCCAATACAGGAGCCATAAAGGACATCTCCATAATTTAATTTTGATAGAACCAACGAATCACATAGAATTTTTGTAACATTAAATGACAGGTAATGACGATTAATATAAATTGCTTTTAGGTTAATGAAGACATTTCGATATATTAATATGCTAAATTTGAGCTGATTGTCCATGACTATACCAAGGTTTTTGGCACTGTTTACGGGTTTTATTATATCACCCTCAATTTAATTGATTCAGGACAGGATTTATTTGGGCCAAAGACAAGAACATTCGTTCTTTTTGAATTAATGCTAAGAGCATGTGTTTTTGGCTACATAGCTAAGTTCTTGATTGATAAGGTCAGTGTCATGGAAAATATTGTTCGGATAAAAAGAGCTATACATTTGTGTATCGTCGGCATATAGGTGAACCTTGCAAGTTTTTAAGACTGTTCCGATATTTTTTGTATAAAGAGTAAATACTACAGGTCCTAATATAGATCCCTGAGGAACTCCAGATCGTACCCTCATAGAATCAGAAATAATTTAATTAATTTTAACACGTTGGCTTCGATCACTTAAGTAACATTTTATCAGACCTACGGCATCAGGCGAAAACCCTATATAATGAAATACGCCACACAGCAGGGAATGATTAAGGGTATCAAATGCTTTACTAAAGTCTATTAAGATTAAAACCGAAATGTTATCATCTTCCCTAGCCTTTAAAATATTATCGGTTACGTCTAGAAGTGCAGTTTCACAATTATGAGATGGTCTGAAACCTGCCTGATATTCTGGTCAAATATTATTAGGTATGAGTTAATAAGTAGAATTTGTTCTATTATTCTTTCAACTACCTTTGAGAGAGTTGGGAGAATACTAATAGGCCATAGATCCTTAAACTCGGTTGGATTACTAGGATATCACGAGGATATCCAACTGCGAGCTGAGGGAATAACCATCATAGAACACCAGTATTGTATTTTGTTCATATATTCTTATTTATAATCTACCGTTTACTCAACGCCGCCTTTAAACTTTCTTATCAACATATTCGCAGTAAGTACATACTCATAGTAAATGAAAATTAGAACAAAAATAAAATTTTTGTAGTAAACAGTTTTCTGAAAAACATAAGAAATTTAATATTGTTTGTGATATTATTGTCAGTTAAAACTGTCATTAAATGGCCGTATCACCGTAACATGTATTAAAAGTATTTGAATAAGGTTTAATCTAAATTGCGACTTGTTATTCATTTCTGGGTACCATCAGGTGGTACTATACTTAGTTTTAGCAGATACTTCACATACTTATCGTCGCGTTGTAGGTATATCTATTTCATTTTAATATTTGGTATGGGTTAAGCATTGTTTGTTAGGTAACGCTGGTAGCGAAGCATCCCGAATATTTTGAAAAAAGAAAATGTAAAACAACACGTAGGTGAGTAAAAATTTTAAATTTTTGACAAGGAAAAAATGTACTGATTTATTATTCACTTCTGGAAAGTTTCATTTAAATAGACAGTAAGATATACATAATTTAGTTTTGTTTTTTGTTATACCTATACATTTTTTAAAATTTGTAGTTATTTTTATAATATTTTTACTTTTTATTGACAATTTAGAGGGTTACTCTATTTCGTAAATATTTTTATCATAAATTTGGCTCTTGTGACGTTACAGTGCTTATCAGTTTGAATTGCATATAATTAACTAGACGCGCTGAACCATAACTCTTAAAATATAATAAAGTTGATTTTATACGACAAAAAAATAATATAACTAATACAGGTGACTAATCAGAATAAATAAAAAAAATTAGATTTGTTTTATTATTATGAGTAAATAGTACTGGGAAATAGTAATAAAACCTTTACAGAAAACGAGACTAAAGTTGATACTGATTATAATATTAAATAATGACACAGAAATTAAATTAAAACATTTCCAAAAGTTAACGGTACATTTAAGAATCGGCAGAAAGTTAAAACAATACATTTATGAAACTTAGTTTTAGTTTTCAGTATTTGAAACAATTTATGTAATAATGTTTTAAATATAAATCATACAGTTGGTACTGATCTTCTCCTGTCTGGCATAGCAAAATACAGGGTGTTTGGTAAACATGCGGCAAAAATACAAGCGGTTATTCCTTGGACTATTCTAAGAATATTTTGTTTTTTGATGACTTGTGAAAACCCGCTTTGTTTCAAAAATACAGGGTGAGTTTTAAAGAGTTCGGCAGTCAAAAATGAGAAGATTCAATGCTTGTATCCAAGCTGGAGGAAGTCATTTTGAACATTTATTATAGACTTAGCAACTTTACATGTACTTTTTGATAACAAAATGTTGTTACTGTCGAAATTTTGTTCACCTTGTATCTTCGAAACAAAGCGGATTTTCACAAATCATCAAATAAAATATTCTTAGAATATACTAAGAAATATTGTCTTGCATTTTTACCAAACACCCTGTATTGAACGGCATCGACGCTAACCCCGCTTTTAGACAAAGAGGGACAGTAAGACCGAGAAACTAAAATCGAGAAAGATAGCGCTACAGTCCAATTTAAGGAGGTCCTTTCGCCACCAAAGTTAAATAAAAAATATTAGATTATGACTAAAATTAATTTTTTTCTAATAGTAGAAGTCCTTATTTATCTAATAGTGAACTTTTAACTATACCTTACCGTGCAAATTTTTGATATATTTTTTTTTTTTAATGTGTGTGTGTACAGTTTCTTACGAGAAAGTAAGACTTCAACAATTTTCGAATTATAATTAATTTTACTATTATTTATTGATTAGATGGAGTAGAAAAAAAACTAAAAATAAGGTTTTTGAAATATATAGGTTACCGTGGAATTTATTGAGAAATTAATATTAAAAAATCACAAAAAATTTTCAACTAGGTTACTTCAAATTTTTTTTTAATATTAATTTCTCAATAAATTCCAAGGTAACCTATATATTTTATTGTAAAAAACAGAACCTAAATATTTCAAAAACCCTATTTTTAGTTTTTTTCTACTCCATCTAATCAATAAATAATAATATAATTCGAGAATTGTTGTTGAGGTCTTATTTTCTCGTAAGACACTGTACAAATACTCACATTTAAAAAAAAAATCTCAAAAATTTGCACGGTAAGGTATAGTTAAAAGTTCAACATTAGATAAATAAGGACTTCAACTATTAGAAAAAAAATAAATTGTAGTCATAATCTAATATTTTTTATTTAACATTGGTGACGAAAGGGGTGGCGAAAGGACCTCCTTAAAGGGATTTAAGGGGAATCTAACGCTCAAGTTTTGACTCAAATGTAGAGAGTCGGCTGATAACAGATTACAGAGCTGTTCCACTTTGAGTCTTTGAGTAAAAATATACAGCATGATACAAAAAAATGTATTTATTGTAAATAATAAATTCAATATGTTCGAGACTTTCTCGAACACTAGTGTTAATTTTAACCAATTTTTTTACAGATTTAATTCCTGTAAAATTTATAGGCCCATAAACTTGTTTAATTTTTCGCTTTAAAATGTTACATTATATACACACCTACTATTATTATTTTTTTTTTTTAAATGACAAAAAACGAAAACTCTTACATTTCTTTGATATAGGCAAAAATCACACGTTTTTTTTTATTTATTATAGGTATTAAAGGTATAGGATGTTTTGTGAAGAAATAAATGCGAATGGTATACATATTTTAAAATATACATCGGTTTTTAAATTATTTACAAAATGCAAAGAAATAAAAGAAAACATATTTTACAAACAAAAAAGTCTGAAACAAAAAACAGGACATAGTGGTAAATTAATAATTAATCATTATATTACAAATTAAAATACATTAACGTAAAGAGATATAATTTCCAAAGCCAAAACCTTAAGGAAAAAAAAAATAAAAAGTTTTCTAAAATAAGTTAACACTTAAAACTTAAAGTAGATGCTACCGAAATATTTTTCATTATCTTTTTTTTTTTCGTTTCGCTTTTTTTTATTGATGGCTTCTAAGGTATACTAAGCATCTTTTATGGGCATGTTTCTAGCCTTTCGGGAATCGATTATTTCGGGAATCATACAATCGTAGTAAAAAGATCTTACAAAAGACTCCATCTTATTTTTCCAATATTCTGAATCCCTTAGGATTGTTTCTGTTTTCATACCGTGTGGCGTCCAAACCGCAAAAATGCAATATGATCTTCTCGTTATTTGTAATGGCCCTTGAACTTGGTAATACCATTTGTGGTTTTTATTAATGTCATTGTTTTGCCAAAAAGTAATATTTTTCGTTTGAATTTCTTGACATTTTATTTCAACTAGGCCTCTTTCTTCTATAAGACTATCTGGGGTTGCTGCCAAAAAAGGTTGTTCGATACCATTAAAAAGACCGCCAAGGATCTACAGTTTTCCTAGTTATTTTTTCTAGTTGCTTTCTAGTATTTTCTTTATTTTGTTGCCGTAGTCACAAGCTGCCGAATAAAATCTTTTGTCTCCAAAAGAGATTTACAGCTGGTTGTTGTTCTTTTCTTGCACACAACCCCAAAGAGCGATGCTGTAAGTCTCTTTCTTCTCTCAATATACCATAAATCCGAGGCATGCTGGCCTCTAGTTAATTCTTCTAGTTCATCTGCTTCTTCTGAAGTTTCCTTTAAATTTTCTAAAAACATTCTCTGAGCATGTAAAAATTCTTCAGGAGGCATATCTGGTATTTGGCACATTTCCCCGTAGCTTTCGTCACCTTTACTCGTTGATGGTTTTAAGAACGTCAGTCTTTTTCTTGATTTTGGGTGGCCACTTTTTTTGCCAATCGTTTCATTTCTAATCTTTATGCGTATTTACTGGGAGATATCCCCCCCAGCAAGACGTTGCTTAATGGTATAAACAGGCGTTCGAGTATTGTGACTAACTACAGCGGCAGCACATCGCGACACTGTAACTAGCGGCCTAGGCACACAGCGGCCAGCAAGATAGCAGTGGCGTAAAATTTGATCGACTCCGTAAAAAATTTGAACGTGAATATTTGGACTTTTCACGGTCCAGATTTTTTCTAGAGGCCCTCAAGAATTTAAATAAATCAAATTCGAGAGGAGAGAAGGCCAAGGATTGAGTCGAAGGACATGAAATCCTTAGTAAAATTTCATCTTCTCCGTAAAAAAATCTGAACGCGAATATTTGAACTTTTCACGGTCTAGATTTTTTCTAGAGGTCCTCTAGAATTTAAATAAATCAAATTTGAGAGGAGAGAAGGCCAAGGATCGAGTCGAAGGACATGAAATCCTTAGTAAAATTTCATTTTCTTTGTAAAAAAATCTGAACGCCAATATTTGAACTTTTTACGTTCCAGATGTTTTCTAGAGGCCCACGAGAATTAAAATAAATCAAATTTAAGAGGAGAGGAGGCCAAGGATCGAGTCGAAGGACATGCAATCCTTAGTAAAATTTAATCGACTCCGTAAAAAAAACTGAACGTGAATTTTGCATTTTTCACGGACCAGAGGGCCTCTAGAAAAAATCTGGACCGTGAAAAATCCAAATATTCACGTTCAGATTTTTTTTACGGAGTCGATCTAATTTTACTAAGGGTTAAATGTCCTTTTTTCCAATCCTTGGCCTCCTCTCCTCGCTAACTTAAATTATTTGTATATTTGAGGACCTCTAGAAAAAATTTGGACCGTGAGAGGTTCAAATATTCGCGTTCAGATTTTTTTACGGAAAAGATGAAATTTTACTAAGGATGTCATATCCTTCGACTCGATCCTTCGCCTTCTCTTCTCTCAAATTTGATTTACTTAAATTCTAGAGGACCTTTAGAAAAAATCTAGACTAAAAAGTTCAAATATTCGTGTTCAGATTTTTTTAAGAAGAAGAAATTTTACTAAGGATTCCATGATCTTCGTATCGATCCTTGGCCTCCTCTCCTCGCTAATTTAATTTCTTTGTGTATTTGAGGGCTTCTAGAAAAAATCTGGACCGTAAGAAGTTCGAATATTCACGTTCAGTTTTTTTTACGTAGAATATGAAATTTTACTAAGGATTTCATGTCTTCTCTTCGGGAATTTAATTTATTTTAATTTCTCGTGGGCCTCTAGAAAAAATCTGGACCGTGAAAAAGTCCAAATATTCACGTTTAGATTTTTTTTACGAAGTCGATCAAATTTTACTAAGGATGTCATGTCCTTCGACTCAATCCTTGGCCTCCTCTCCTCGCTAATATAAATTATTTGTGTATTTAAAAGCCTCTATAAGAAATCTTGACCGGTGAAAAATTCAGATATTCGCGTTCAGATTTTTTAACGGAGAAGATGAAATTTTACTAAGGAATATAAACAAAATTACAATATAACAGCAACATCTGGTAGGTTTTATATAAATGAAGTATTTTCGCTTTGGAAGCTATTCAGTTAAACCAGCAACCTTTTTTTATGAATTTTATAATAAATTCTGTTTTCTGGTTTACACCAAACAACCGTTCCATTTTTACATATCAATACATCTTCAAATTTAAAATATAAAAAATACATAAGTATAGAACCAACATACATTTAAAATATAATAAAAAATACATAAGACAGTACACTTACATGTCAACTATACAAAACATAATAAAGAACAAGAAAGAAAGAAAGAAAGAAAGAAAGAAAGAAAGAAAGAAAGAAAGAAAGAAAGAAGAAAGAAAGGAAAGAAAGAAAAGAAAGAAAGAGAAGAAAAGAAAAGAAGAAGAAAGAAAGAAGAAAGAAAGGAAAAGAAAGAAAGAAAGAAAGAAAGAAAGAAAGAAAGAAAGAAAGAAAGAAAGAAGAAAAGAAAGAAAAGAAAGAAAGAAAGAAAGAAAGAAAGAAAAAAGAAAGAAAGAAAGAAAGAAAGAAAGGAAAGAAGAAAGAAAGAAGAAAGAAAGAAAGAAAGAAAGAAAGAAGAGAAAGAAAGAAAGAAAGAAGAAAGAAAGAAAGAAAGAAAGAAAGAAAGAAAGAAAGAAAGAAAGAAAGAAAGAAAGAAAGAGAAGAAAGAAAGAAAGAAAGAAAGAAAGAAAGAAAGAAAGAAGAGAAAGAAAGAAAGAAAGAAAGAAGAAGAAAGAAAGAAAGAAAGAATGAAAGAAAGAAAGAAGAAAGAAAGAAAGAGAAGAGAAGAGAAAGAAAGAAAGAAAGAAGAAGAAAAAGAAAGAAAGAAAGAAAGAAAGAAAGAAAGAAAGAAAGAAAGAAAGAAGAAGAAAGAAAGAAGAAAGAAAGAAAGAAAGAAAAGAAAGAAAGAAAGAAAGAAAGAAAGAAAGAAAAGAAAGAAAGAAAGAAAGAAAGAAAGAGAAGAAAGAAAGAGAAGAAAGAAAGAAAGAAAGAAAAGAAAGAAAGAAAAGAAAGAAAGAAAGAAAGAAAGAAAGAAAGAAAGAAGAGAAAGAAAGAAAGAAAGAAAGAAAGAAAGAAAGAAAGAAAGAAAGAAAACCGTCAATTGGTCAGCAAGTACTCAAGCAGTTTTCTTTTAAATATTGCTGTGTTTGCAGAACATTTAATATCTTCAGGCAAATTATTTAAAGCATGTACATATTTAAAAAACACTGAAATTTATGTACATTTTTTCGTGGCCTTATAAACTCTAAATTTTTCTTATTTCGTGTATTGTGTTCATGACCATCCTGATTATAACTTAAAATATTTTGTAAATATTCTGGGGAGATTCCTGATTTAATCTTAAATATAAATAGCAGTTAATAAAATAGCAAATATTTTTTAAAAAGCAACCACTGAAGCACCTTCAACATGGAATTGATTGGTTCCAATCTCGAACAGCTTTAGTATTATCCTCATACCTCTATTCTGCAACTTTTGCAATCGTTGCAACTCATTCTGGTTGAGCAAATACAATATACTGGCACAATAATTAAAATAAGTTAATATTAGAGTATTCTGAATTATTATTTTAGTCCATTTGCTGAGATGTGGAGAACAGCGCCTCAAATAGTTTATTTTAAATGATATGCTTTTGATGATGTTATTAGCATGTTCCTTAAATTGTAAATTTGTATCAACCATAACCCCTAGATATTTAAATTTTTCAACTCTCAAAACTTTATTCCATTAACAGAAATACACTGCGATGCTACATTTAATTTTTTTAAATTTCCAGTACCCTTAATTAACATCCACTTTGTCTTTTCGTAATTTATTTTCAACGAGTTTCCGTTAAAATAATCATGTATTTTACTTATAGAACTATTAATTTCTTTAAAACAAGTTTCAGTGTTTTCATGGGTAAAATATATCAGTAAATAATCTACAATTAAGTGTATTGAGCATCTTTCGACTACATCAGCAATGTCATTAATATAAATGAAAACAGTAGCGGACCTAGAACACTACCCTGTGGTACCCCCATATTATTCTCTATAGTATCTGAAATACAATTACTTACCTTAACCTTCTGTTTCCTATGTATTAAAATTATTTTTAAATAATAAATTAAATAAAAAACCATTAGTGAAAACAAATTTACCTTCGCACATTAATTTTACCTATTTTAAATTTCTGTAGTTTCTTAAATGTAATATTTTTAGGAATATTTTTAAGAGTGTGGTTCATCAGGGTTATCAATCTGTAAATACACAAATAAAACTTTAATAAACAAAAAATTGAGTGAAATATCTAGTTCTACAATAAATTGGTACATTTCTGGACGGAATAAAAATTAAAAGTAATTTAAAAAGTCGACATAATTCTTTGATTTAAGTTTTAAATTTTTTTGCTCAAGATTTAGGAGCTTAACTTTTTAGAATTTGATCAAAAAATTCACCTGTTTCAGATACACCAGTTCAACCATCATACGCATGTACTCGTATAAGATAACACTGTAATTTACCTTTATTACCTGTTATCATTTTTATCTAATCAAAACACTGATTAAGAGAAATCAATATCCATCCAATTATGAAGACTTCAAATAGAATCCATCATGTAGGTACAGAAGTTTAAGACTTTATTTCTAGTTTTTAAGTTCAAATTATTTCAGAATGGCGATTGAACTGCTTCTTTTGGGTTCTTTAATTTTTATTTTTATCGTATCTTTTTGTGGACTATTGCAGAAGATTAAGCAATCGTACGAAAGGGAACGCGCCATAGCAGGTGAGTGATAAACAAAATAAACTGTCAAAAAGAATTTGGCGTATGGCATTTGTTATCTAAATTGGTTCGCTTTGTTTAGGTTTTGTTTTTAATGTTTGAGATACCTATAAAACAAATTTCTACCTTAATATATATAATATTCTGATTGATTTATTAAATACAACGAATCCTACAAACTAAAAAAATGAACATGTTTAGAAAGCTAAATTTTGCATTAGTTTATTTCTGTTTTTACTTTTGTTTAATGGCAAACAATATTTTTCGTGTTTGAAACATTACAGGCAAATTAGTCCGATAACAGCTCATTTTCCATTACCTATACGTGTTTAGCAACGAAACAATTGTTTTTCCATTAGTATTTTTCAATTATTTCATTTTTCATCACGTGGCTTTGGCAAGCAATGTCTTAATTGACAACTTATATGATAAGTTCTATAAAATAATATTGTAAATTTTAAATATATAAGTAAAAAATATTCCTACAACGAAAATAAAGTTTGTTGCATACCAAAATAGAGCCATTTTCTATTTTTAAATGAAACAAAACTCAGTTTCAGTTTTCATATGTTTTCATTTTAATTATACCAGTAAGTTTACAATAGAGTGCAAGAGTAGGAAAAAAACAAAGGTCCTTTATGTCTCTTAATGTCAATTTAATTAGCAATCGGTTTCGAATAAGTTGCTTCATTTTCAGGCACGCCAAATTCAAGGAGTCAATGTATTGAAAAGTGTAAATATTTAATACAAAACATTAAATTTTAACAAAACAAAACAATTTAGGGTGAAGAAAAAGGTTATTAATAAGTTAACTTACCACGCCATCTATTACGGATTAGCTACATAGGTTAACATAAAAAGTGTTAAGATGGTGTCTACATATATAGGGCGAATCCTAACTTTTTTAACTGTGTATAGAAGTCGTTAAACAACTTTTTCAAAAAAAATCAAAAATAACGAAGATACAGAATGAACAAATTTAAATCCGGATCTGGAATTGTGTGTTAAAATTTAGGTAAATAGTAATATGTTTATATTTTTTTTAACTTTTTATTTTCGGTAATGAATCAAGCTGGCATTGTCTACCGTATTCTAACTCAGTCGTGGTTACAGTGGTGTGTCTATCTAAAGTACGCAGTGAATTTAATTTGTTAAGTATGGTAAATTTCGACAACAATAAACTGTGTGGATGCTGCTTATTTTTGACCAGGGTCTTTAAGGTGCAGTGAAAGCTTTCCCTTGAAAAGTGTGAAACCCAGATCACTTACTTTTAAAATGGAAACGGCAATGTTAAAATTCGAGACAGTACTGTAGCGCTTTGTAATAATTCTGTGAACTATTTGGAAGGAAGTGGTGTCATCTCACGGTTACTTTCATTAATACAAAACGCGGGAACATTCAAAATTGTCATTCAATATTTACAGTTTAAAAGTGGTAGTCAAATTAAGATCTGATTTTACATCATTGTAGCAATAAAATTATATTTGTTACAAAAAAGCAAAAAATGAGTAGTATCAACCAATCTTAACTTGACTACAAGTTTAAATATTTTATTAATACACAAAAAATTGAAAAGAATGATCAACAAAATTAATTTATTCAAACAAAAAAAACATACAAATGGAATAATTAAATGTATCGTGTTAATTAACTGGAAAGTCATGTTGCTTTATTTTCCACAACAATAAGTTTTATCTGGAACAAAAAATTAATATTAATAAACTTATAGAGCAACTAGCAACTGAAGAACCCAGGAATTTAACTAGTACCACCCTATTTTGTAAAACCTTTATATTTTCATGTAATAAGCCAAATTAGCAATTGCAAAACAATGCATTTAAAATTATGTCCAAGGACTTAACAATTTTTTTTACTGTCTGTTTGGCACTTTCAGTATTTAGATTACAAATCTAATGTGTCCAACACATGACTTTCATATCTAGTTATTATAGGCTTTTTCCGGTTATTTTGTACAACCTATTGCAGCACCTCTATAAATGTTTAGAGGATAAATTGAATATATACATTTTCCACATACATCTAACTCGAAACATTTTTCCATAGATATTCATTGAAAACGAAAATACTGAAAAATTTAAATTTAGCACTTTTTCTCCAATTTTTCCATTACGGTCCATTTTAGAAAAATCATGTAAAATACAAAAATTATAGAGATTGATATCGCAAACAACTTTTGTTTGAACAATTTTTATAAAAAATATTTTTTTTACAACCAAGTTGACAATACAATAAACAATAATTTACAAAATACTTACTATTTATTCATCCAGGATTTAGGGCACTCCCAAATACAAACAATTAAAAAATAATTATTGACAATATTGTGATATTAATCACAATAAATACTGGTAATGGATGCCAATTTGCTAATAACCAATGACAAATGACACTCCTCCTCCAACTCAAACTCTTTTTACCATCAACTGTAGGTTTCTGTAAATTGTCTGTACAGCGCCACTAGCGCTAATTCTTTAAAACTAAAACATGGTTTTAGTTCGGGCTATACCATGGTAATAGGTTATGCTAGTTTCGAACTTGTCAGAATAAACATTCCAATGGAAATAGTAGTTTAAAAATATTTTAAAATTTACTGTTGGCATTATTAGTATTTGTTGTGGTTTGTGGGTAACCGATTACCTGCCAAGCCACCACGCCGGAGCAGGGGCCGTGCCGAGCAATCGCTAGCATGATCGAGGAACAAGTGAAAATATTCGATTATGTATAATTAAAACTTTGAATTATTCTTAGTTTTTCTTTTTACATGTTGAAAAAAGAAAAAGTAGCTTTTGTACGGAAAAGCAACGAAAGTTTTTAGACACTAAGAAATTCCTTCGTTAACGAAGATAATAAAATTTCCGAAAGAGTCTGCTTCATTATTCAATTTACTACAAATTTCTCAATTTGGATTATTTGCCAGTCTCTCAGCAGCTCCCACAATTTCTAACTGATTTAAGAAAATAAGTTCATACAGTTTCTTAGTGAAAGAAAAGTAAAAATAATATACCTACATAAATAAAATAATATCAATCAACTTAAATAATAAGCATAAACAAGTAAAAATCTATGAATACAACCAAAAAATGTTTTTAACTACAATTTCAACAAAAAATCCAAAATATTCAAAAATCTTTGGTTATGTGTCAAATTTTCGACTTTAATGCGCAAACTGTAGCACAATTCCCATTGGAAAATACAATTTTCAATGCTCGTAAGCAGGGGAATATTTTCCTATACCTCTCATTAGAAAATATTCCACCGCTTATGTCGAGAATACGAAAACTGGATTGCTATGGGAAATATCATTTTCCCATGGGAATAAAAGTCGAGAATTGAGTCCATGGTGTGAAAATTGCGGGAAAATTTATTGTATCCCTTTCACGTTTAACGTGTTCAAGCACTACAACTTGAAGATTTCCTTTGCAATGTTGTTTTGTGAATGGCGTTTATAACTACATAAATAAGTTTAACATGTTTCGACAAAAGTTCTAGTTACAGACAGGACCGTATTGGATACATTTTGGAATAAGTTATTGTCTCTTATTAAGTTTTTTTTGAATTTTTGTTTTGAAAAGGTTGTTTATTTTTTTTACTTCTATACATAGTTAAAAAAAGATATATCAACTTTGGAGTAAATTGGATATTTTTTTTTTATTTAAAAGTTTTTTAAAAAATAAAAAAAGAGAAAACTGCCTATTTGAGTAGAGAAAAAAATCAACAGTCAATTAAACTTAAATTTTAAAATTACATTAAACAAATATGAGAAAACATTTAACAACGAAAAATGAACATAAAATAGTGTTAAATTGTATTTATAAATTACATTTCAATAGTAGGTTTTGGAGAAAAATCGACTAACTCCATGTTTTTGTTGCAAAACCGGTTATGTCTGTAACGTTTAGAGGGTGGGTTAACCCACGGCACTAAGGTCTTACTAGGCCCACTTTGAATCCTCCTAAGTTGATAGGCATCTCCTAGCTCGTGAGCCAGCCTACAGATTTGTAGGCAAGAGGTGCTTCTCTTAAATTGGCCGGTGTCAGCCAATTTCGCCGAACATAAATCTTCTAATAAATGAAAGCGTCGTGCAATCGTAAAGAATATGCTTGATGGTCTCATATTCTTGTTCGCATACCTTGCAAAGTGCGGATTCTGCCAGTCCCATGATATGGACATGCTTCTGTAATTGGCAATGTCCAGTCAGAATGCCTGCAATCAAACGCAGATTCTCTCTAGTCATAGTAAGTATTTGTTTGCTGTAATGTTATCAGAATAGTTTAAAAGCTCCCTAGCAAGTCTGCAGCTTCTTGTTTCATCTCATCTTTCCTTGAATTTCAGAAGGGAATGTTGTTTAATTAGGCTTGATATAACGGAAAAGAAGAAGAAAAATCTTACTAACCTTATAGCTGAGGCATTTGGAAAAGAGTGGGGGAAACGCTCTGACTTATAAGAACCTGCTAGTTCCTCAAGAGGAAGCTTACGACGAGGAAGCTAACGTCGAAAGTAGTGAACATTGTGACTATCTTTATGAGAAGTGCTGTTTTAATATAAAAGCAAATGTTTATTCGTATTCCAAAGTATTTGTTGAAATTTCAGCCTTATTATTAAGTTTGTGAAAATGAAGTTATGTCCACTCGATGAAGTACTTTAAAGATACAAGACATAACTTTCCTTTTTTCAACCATGAAGCCCGGAAGTGAGTTTTTGCCATTTTCCAAATATTTTACCAAGCTTCTCAGCTATAAAATGAGCTAAGAACTAAAAAATAGGTGACTATATTAACCTAATGATATCTGAAACTAAGTACCTTAAACAAGGAAATTAAAAATAATTTCATAAACAAATAAATATAATATGAATAGCAAGTAAACATAATAAAATGAAAGCACCAAACAAAAAACTGGGAATATTGTACTGAATTTGAACCAGGCCATCTCTTCTAATTTGTCGCAATTCTTTCATTGTTTCCCACGCTTTTCTCCTAAATATTTAATTTGGACATCGTATATTATTTCCCTCTTTCCTTGTCTTTTTGATTTCACTAATTTTTTTGGTAACCAAATATTACACATCATTAAAAATGTAATTTTATGGAGAATTCAACTATACTACTATTTATTGCGTTGCTTTTGATTTCAGCGCGCTCGAACGAAATAAAAATTGTTACGAATTGTAAATTGTCACATTTCATTTGAAATATATTTTTATTAGTAATTTACTTGGCAGCATAAACTTTTTAATCTTGGTTGATTACGAAGTTTGATTTTATAACTGAAGGCATTTCGATTATTTAGGTTCATGTTTCAATCATTATTATCCTGTTGGAGGTCACTAAACAAAAGTTATGCAATGAGCAGTTATATTGTTAAATTCTCCATAAAATTGCAGGTGTCATACTTGGTACTTCTTATTGGTTAGAGTTATGGAGGGGAGGGAAATAACGTATGACAGTTGAGGTTATGATAGAAAGATGTTATTTATTCTCACTCGATTTACCTTCTGTACTTTTTAGAGACATTCAAACTTAATAATCATGTGTATTTAATTGATCTCCAGTTTGTAGATTTCTGTTGATTTCTAGTTTGTAGTTTTCTGTTTGGTTTTTTATTATTTGTCTACTAATTGTTTTTAGAAAATGGTGTAAATTTTTGGCGCTAATTCTTTCTACATGTAATTAAATTTTGTAGAATTTTGTAACATTGATTCCTTTGTAACAATCGAATTATTTTTTTTAACAGATTTAAAAAATTGGAAAGGTATCGAAATTACTAAGTCAAGAACGTTTCAAAGGGTCAAAAATAAAAAAAATATTTAAATAAAAACTATTCGGATGAAAACGTTTCTTTCTTAATTTTTTCGATACCTCACGATATAATTCTGACTTTAAGCTCAATTTTATGCAGAAAGAATGGCACGTCGACATACTACTCGTAATGAAGACAATTCAGATGCCTATGTAAATACCACATTCGTTGAAGATTTTGATACCGGAAGTGGAATTTTTCCTTGTGCTCCTCCTCCATATACACGTAAGTTGACAGTTTTATCTTTCTTATTTTGAAAAGCTTTTATTTTTTTTTTCTTTTTTTTTTCAAAATTTCTGTTTTTTTTTTTAATATCAGATTTTCTATTTTTCTCAAAAATGTCCATAAGATTAGTTTACTGAGATATTTTTTTTGTTTTATTGCAAGGGCAAAAGTAGATCAATGTATATTCTGAGAATTACTACGAGAGCTCATATCTCTCATATACAAAGACCATTCTGTCTTTGTATTATCGTCAGGTTGGCATTGTACCAACGGCATGGAGATGATCTAGAACCTCACATCTATATTTAATAGTAGACAACATAGCAGAAACGATTAGATATAGAACGGATACCTGCTATATGCATGAAAAAAAAATACAGTTTTCTCAAAAATTTCAAAACTACAGAGACTGCAAGGAAGAATAAATTCACGAATTAACTTCTGTGCGAACAAAAAGCATGCAATTTAATAGGTGTATATAAGTCTAAAACCAAAACTGTCCAATACAAGAGCTTACCGTCATGTCTGATAGCCAAGTAGCCATTAAATCTCTATTGTAATCAACTCAAAACTGATTTTGAGGTGCATATAAAAACTAAATGAGCAAGGCAAGAAAAATACAGTTACCTTCACTTGAGTACTTGTTAACAGCGTGGTGAAGGGTACCTAGATTGCATAGTCTCGTAAGAAAAGGAACTTAAATACCCTTTGTGGGGAGCTGATCTGCTTTGAAGTATCTGCAGTAGAACAATATTAGACGTAATTAAAAATAATTGGATACTAAGAGAATCAAAAATTTTAACGATCATTTGTCCTTAAGGCAGGCTAAGAGACTTCTGAGTCGCTATAGACATTAAGACTATTTTCTTGTCGCCTCAATGACAGAAGGAACACACTAACTATTTTAGGTCGCAGTGTACCTGATACTCCATATCAACATGACATAGCATGCATTGCCAAGTATTAATATAATCCAACTGCTTCTATGTAATACCTCGTAATCCATATTTTGTATTTGTATTACTTTCTTTGGTAAATCTCATAAATGATGCTCCTGATTGTTGTTGAAGAACATAAAAATGAATGGTTCTGCAAAGGGTCACTGCTCTTGAATTCTTATTTATTCAAGTGAAAGTAAAGTTGATTATTGCAATCAACTGCAAATAAATTATTTGGCATCTGAAGAGACCAATAAGCATCGTATTCGGCTTTATAAGGATAGAAGTGATCTGTTCCATAATAAAAATCTCTTATACACGAATATTTTCAATTTGCCCACATAATAGAGATTCATCATATGGGGCCAAGATCATAATTTAGATCAATTCTTTTTTAGGTCACAGTGATAGGCACTAATGCATATTATTAAGCCTATTTATTATGGAACAAAAGAATCATTTTCTTGGTTGCTCTTAGTACTTGGTTGAGTTTATCTATGAAGCAATTAAAACGATTATGATTTTTTGTTCTCATTGAACGTTGATAGCGTTTTCTGCATTAATGTTAATATATGACTCGATATTTTAATAAGCATTTACTGACACCCTTCAAGGTGTTGGAATTTAAATCTCTTGATATTCGGTATGCAGAGTTATTTTCTTCAATATCAGAGACTATCTCCCTACCAAATATCAGCGACTATTTCTCTAGAGAAATAGTCAATATTTGATCTAGTCGAATAGTCGTCCCAAATATAACACGACCTTGATTAATATTCTGCTATTTTACAATTTGTTTCTACATGTATAATTTTGGCATTAATAATCAATTAACTAAAAATTGATATTAAAATATTCTCGAGATTTAAATTCAACAAAAATAGCTGACTATTATCAAGGTCTTGGTAATGTTGTCAAATATTTTGCGTATGTCATATTGTATTTAGTTACTAATAGGCTAGTTCTAGTTTCTTCGTGCCATTTTAGAAGCTAAATATGAAGAAATAGATTTGCAATAGAATGCAACGCTTGATTATTTTCTAATTTGTTACTTTGAGCTGTATGGTGTCATTTTGACAGTAACTACCACAGATCAGGAATACCCAATTAATTTTTTGTTCCATCTTTGTATAATTTCCAGTGTTTTTCGCAGAGAGTGGTGTATTTTGTGCAGGGTCATTGATTGATATAAAAAATTAGAGTATATAATATTGCAATAATTGTTGCCAAATACCTATTCATTTAAAACAAAATCTTACAAAAAATACAATTTGCAATAACGTTTTGCTGACAATTGTACAAGTTTGTAAGGTTTTAAATGCGATAATTTTGTAGCAGTGGTGGCATCACTACCTTATCAGAAAATAAAAACGGTTAATGATGTGTTACGATAAGATGCCAAACTTAACTCGTGTTATGAAAATTATGGATTTGTATCATTTTTGAAATTGTTATATTATTTTGAAAATGAACAAAACCATTGCCAATAGCATAAGCATGTCATCTTCTTCATTCGTCATCATCAATTATTGGTATATTGATGGCTTAGGCGCAATAGGTCGTATCCCCTTAACAGTAAATTCTACAGGAGGCACAAAAATTTCATAGTTACAATATTCAAAACATGTTTGATATTTTATTAGGTCAATTACAACTAAAATATAATCAAAGTATTTTCAGTGCATTTTTAAATTATTGGCCCTATTTCATTATTTTTGTGTGATACGTCCTATTGCGTATTCTTGTTTTGTGGGTTACGTCCCATTTATATCGTATTTATAGGGTTGGCATAAAAATAGAGGCTCGGATGTGTGGCTTACGACAAATTGTATTATAAGCAGATAAATGTGAAATTAAATGTATTTTTTTATATAAAAGTATCAAAAATATATAATTTAAACAATATAACATTTCTTTGAAAACACTGAAATTAAGGTAAATGTGTTTATAAAGAACATATATTTTCCTTGCATTAAAACAAAAATAAATTTAATGGCGGGGTTTACTCTATTTATTTTTGTTTGTTTTATTTTACAAGGCATCTCCTTAAGTACACTTTTTGAATTGTCCGTTCTCTTCCTGACTGATGTTTTTTTAATTCTGTTTAAAGATTTTCTTCTTTGCACTCTAGTTTCGTTATTGTTCACTATTTCTTGTTTCTTTTCCAAATCATCTAATTTTGTTTTTTGCTTAGCTTTCTCATTTCCATTATTTTTATATTTTGTAGTAGATTTTAGGTTTGTAGCCAGTGTTGCCAGAATATATTTTTGTAATGTACCAGATTTGTCTAAAAAATGTACCAGATTACATAAAAATGTACTAGATTCTGTAAAATTACCAGATTTTCTAATCGTGAAGGGTGGTCATTAAAGAGCAAAAAAAAGGTTTATACAGAACACGAACACAACAATTTTAAACAATATTTTATCTCTTGAGAAATTTCTGACACTATTTTATCTCTCGAGCAATTTAAAAAAAAAATTTAGTAACTTATGATACTATTTTATTTCTCGAAAAGTTTATAAACCTTTTTTTATCTCTTGAACTATTTTTAAACAATATTTTATCTCTTGATAAATTTCAAACATTATTCTATCTCTCGAGCAATTTTTAACAAGTTTTTTTATCCTTTGAGCAATGTTTTTACAATATTTTTTGTACAATTTTTAACACTATTTAATCACTCGAGCAATTTTAAATAGCCTTTTTACCTCTTAAGCTATTTTTGAACAATATTTGATCTCTCGTGCAATTTTTCAGCAAAATTTTAACAATTTCTAACACTATTTTATCTTTCGAGCAATTTTTATAACATTTATCTTTCTAGCAATGTTTTATCACTCGAAAAATGTTTAACAGTATTTTTTAATTTTCGAGTAATTTTTGAACAAGATTTTAACAATTTATAATACTATTTTATCTCTCGAACAATTTTTAAACCTTTTTTTATCTCTTGAGCTATTTTTAAACAATATTTTATCTTTATATAAATTTCTAACATTATTCTATCTCTCGAGGAATGTTTAACCTTTTTTTTATCTTTTTTAGCAAACTGCACAATATTTTAACTCTCGATTTTATAACAATATTTTAACTTTCGATAAATTTTTAACAATGTTTTATCTCTCTAGCAATTTTTAACCTTTTTTTTTATCTCTCGAGCAATGTTTGTACAATATTTTATCTCTCAAGCAATTTCTAGTAATAATTTATTTCTCAACAAATTTTTCAACAGTATTTTATCCCTCAAGCAATTTTTAAACAAGGTTTTAACATTTTAACTACTTTACCTCAAGCAATTTTTGAACACGATTTTATCAATTTATAATACTATTTAATATCTCGAACATTTTTTCATTTTTTTTATCTTTCATTAAATTTTTAACAGTATTTTTACCCCTCAAGCAATTTCTAATACTATTTTATCCTTCGACCAATTTTGAACACCCTTTTTTTATCTCTTAAGCCATTTTTGATGATCATTTAATCTCTCGTGTAATTTTTGAACAATGTTTTATCTCTCGAGAAATGTCTACTATTTTATCTCTGAAGCAATTTTTAACAACTATTTTAATTTCTCTGGAAATTTTTGAAAAATATATTTTACACTTCAAATTGAACATACGCTGAAAAAAGTACTAGATTTTGCTTCGAGTGTACTAGAGTACCAGATTCTCAAAGAATGTACTAGATCTAGTACAATTGTACTAGACTGGCAACACTGTTTGTAGCTTTCTACTTTAAACTAATTTCTTCTAACTTAGCTATTTCTTGGTTCTTTTCCGCTTCATCTGATTCTGTTTTTTACTTAGCCTTCTTATTTCCATGATTCTTATCTTCGGATTGATACGGTAAGCTTGAGTATAAATCATTCACTTCTATATATAATATTGAAGTCAGTTCTTGTAAATCCTTACATTTTTTCTTTGTAATTTTAATTCGGTTGTCGTATAATCGGCAACGAAGCTGGTTACTTGAATTATTTGTGTTTGAACGACAAGGTAATTAAACGTTATATTCATCATCGTAGCTCAATTTGTAGAATATTTTTCCGTCCGTACAATACTTAAAAGTTTTAACATTGGTTACTTTAGCGCCATTTACGTTTCGTCCAGGTCATATGGATTGGTATGTATAAAGATCTTTATTATCATTTTTCATAAAAAAACTATGTGTGATATAATGGACATCCAGAGGAACTACCTTGTTTCTTTTATTGCTAAGGAGTATTGATTAAGTATATGATTTTCTCTGTTCTTTAGCTTCCGTTCGACAAGTGCATGAGTAGAGTCACACTCCATTTGAGCGTTACCCTTTTCCAAGTATTTCTGAAATATCGATATACCGGATTGCACTGAAAAGGACAAGAGCGCATTTGACAATATCACATTCTTAATTTGATATCCGCAGTTACTGGAGTAAAGTTTTATTATTCTTAGCTCTTCCAGACAATGCTTTTCCAGATAGTCTATTATACAACTTGTGAACACTGATGAAACTAGCTCTCCCTCACTCTAATTCCAGCAGTAGTTGTCAGATTTATGTGTCTCAACATTATATATCGTAAAGTTATGAAACTGAAGCTTAATTTACTAGCAGATAATTTGGGGCATAACTGAACCGCTTGTACGGCCATCGTCAGGGTATATCATTTTTTTCCTAATGCTTCAGCCTTGTCCTTTTCTTTCTCTGTTCTGGCTCTATTTTTACAATCACATGTTTCTTGAATGACTCCTCATAAACCTGACCGACTTTATATGAACAACAAACATCACATTGATCGTTTTTAGGTAGATGTGTTGCTACGTTATTTTCTTCTAGTAGTTTACTAAACGAAAATATTGACAAAGGCAGTTCATTACTTTTAGTGCACTTCTGTTTTATTACGAAAACGTTCTTCAAGGTAAAGCTTAGTTGAATATTTTGGCAATACTGGGATGGTAGTTTTGGAAAACGGTTAATGATCTCCCTTGCAAATTAAATTCTCTTAGCATCATCGACTTGTTTTTTTGTTCTGTTTTTTTGATGTTTTGCCTAAGGCATTCCATGTTGCACCGGTTCAGTGAGCCAGTTTTTTATCTTCCTTTCACTAATTCCAAGTGTAGACATAAACATCCGCTTGCAAACTAGAAATTTGTTGGCATCAAGCTGCAAACTATAAACAATAGTCCCTGTTCGCCTTAATGTACTCTGGGTATAGGATCTTTTTTCTCAGTATACTGAGCCAAACTTCTTACTTATATTTTCTTTTGTTCCCATGTCAAAGTCCAAAACTTGTTGAATATTTCCTGTCTGTCAATTTCAGAATTTTTTTTTTACATTTATGTTTACCGCTACACATACAGATATCACCCAGCTTGCCTACAGGTCTTTTGTTATTGTGTTTTATATCTCCTGTCTTGCTTCTAGTGTAGTCTATGTACTGCTCTACACTCATTACCAGTCTTTTATTTCTGTTTCTCTCCCATTCATTTTGGTTTGCGGTCTTCCTTCTTTTACCATTGCCACCACTTTTTTCTTTAGTTTCATTATGTACCAAGCACGGTTTCATAGGCGTTGTCCACGTATTACCTGGTAGTGCAATACGTCGTAACCCACAAATTAAAAGTAAAGTTAGATTATGAATTCGCATGTTGTTCCAAAAAATAAATTAATAAACAGTCTAGAAAATTATAGTCTATGATATTTTTATGTCTATGATAAAAATATACACTTACCTTCTATGTATAACATAACTGTTAAACTGTTAAACTGTTAAAAATATTTAAATAACTATACTTTTGCAGCGTTTTTTGGTAGAGCACTCACAACAGATAAACAATTTGCTAGGGTTACGATATATTGCACTGAAATTATTTTTTGTGATTTCCTTCACTTTTACATTGGCAAGGGATACGTCCTTTTGAAATAATGGAATAGAGAGGTTTTTTAATAGTGATGAGGCTTACGATGTATTGTGGGGACATAGTAGTAACTATTAGAATAAAATGGCACCAAAAAAGCCAAAAACACATTTTTTGTAGGTTATCGATATCGATATCTATATTATTATTTATATTTTCAGATATTGACGAACCTCCAAAATACGAGGACATAATAAAAGCTCAAGCCGATACCATTACAGTAGTACCAGCTGTCAATTCAGAGCCTACAAGAGTCCACTCATACCCACCTCCACCATATACTATAACCACGTAGCAATCCTAAGGAAATTAGTATATTTAATTAAGTATATTAAAGAAAAAAGAAAAGATTAATAGATAATAAAATTTTATAAATAAACACCTGAATCTATGAAAAACATTTTTTTTTTAATTTTAAACATAAATACTGTTATTGTATATATAGTGTTATTATAAGTATTTGTTCGTATATTTTTGTTGAAAATTAACATTTTTAAATATATAATAAATATATTTTATTAACGATTTTATCTTCACTCGCAGTGATTAGCTTGAACTTACTTTTAATAATTTATTCAAATAGAATTACATAAATAATGTATGTATATATCTTCAAGTGTAAATTATTTATTTAAATCAAATCTACCAGAATTGATTTTAGTCCATTATATTGAATTTGAATTACAATCACCCATTTAAGTAGACCTGGTTGCCATATTATTACCTATAATAAATACATTGTGTTTAGTTTAAAGTTTTACTGTTTTATTATAATTTTTTATTGGCAAACTTTAGATTTGACTTTGATCCAATTTTGTACGAATTATTTTCTTTGGGACCCATTATTAATAAATTGTTTTTACCCAACCTTATGTAATATAAAAATAAAGTCAATAATGTTCAAATAGTCTTTTATAATTGGTTGGATTTGGAAAGATTAAAGCAAGAATCCACTTGAATAACGTTTAATAAAATGTACAGGGTGAGTCATAACTATATGAGGATTAGACAAATTATACCTCAATTAAAGTTTGCTGAAAAAGATACAGGAACGTTGAAGTTGAATTTGTTTTTTCACAACATACTTATAAATTATTATTAAAATTGACAAAAGGGTATAACTTAAGAAACGGAATATTATTGTATTTATTATTTTACTTTGTGTTACAGCGGCGATTCCTGATGATGAAAATGGGCCATATCTTTTTTGGACAAAACGTTTTAGTAATTTTGATTAGAAAGCATACCATTTTTATGTAAAATTGTTATATCTCTTTAAACTTGGTAATTTCAACTGTTGCGAATTAAAAAGGTTTTATTAACAGAAGCCACATTCAAAATTGATGACAAACTAATAATATCAAAATAAACATTAAAAGTACAGATTATCTTGCATAGAACTAAAACCTATGGGTACAAATATAGTGAAGCGGCGAGGGTAGAATCACGCGGCGAGGATAGAGGCAAGTGACGAGATAAACAGGCGACTCTTATATCGTACTATATTTTAAATAATTAATACGAAGCTCTAACGATGAGTCGCCGCTTCCAATTTAAATGATATAGTAGGATATAAGAATTCCCGCATACCTCGCCGTGTGCCTCTATCCTCACCGCTTCACTATTTGTACTCTTGGTTTTAGTTTTAAGTCTTCGTTTTATGATTTAATAGAGAGTTATTGCATGTTCACTTAAGGTCAGTCACTATTAGTGCCGCTCTTATTTTGACATCTGAGCATGCGCAGATCACTAACTTTAATAAAGATTGTGCCTGTCCTTAATAGAGAGATTGCAAATTTCTATAAAGCCAGCCACTAATAGTGACATCGTAATTAGAGTCAAATAAATTCTATAATAGTACCTAATATTAAAGAGGCATTAGAAATTATAATTTTAGAAGGTTTAAATGACGAGCGCATCCGAAAGCTATAAAGTCGCCACTACCTGCTGCCCTTAAACATCCACAATTAAGGACAGGCACAATCCTTAATAAAGTCAGTTTTAGAACATAAACATCTGCGCATGCTTAGATGTCAAAATAAGAGCGGCACTAATAGTGACTGACCCTAAGTGAACTTGCAATAACTCTCTTATTATGGACAGGCACAATCTTTAATAAAGTTAGTGATATACGCATGCTCAGATGTCAAAATAAGAGCGGCACTAATAGTGACTGACCTTAAGTGACTTGCAATAACTCTCTATTGTCTATTTTGGTTATAACGTTACAATAATCCACCACGGTCACTCAATTTAGGCCCGTATTTAAAAACTCAGCTGAGTCGGACTTGGGTAAGTCGTCCTTGAAACAAAAACGAAGTTCGGTTATATCGCGTGAATTTAGTGATGGGTAGTTACAAATCCGTAAATGTACATAGCAGTTACAGATTTGCTAATACTCATCTCTAAATTCCAGTGTAACACCGGAATCACCTGCAACTTTAGAGACGTTGTAACCGAACTTTGATTTTAGTTCAAGGACGACTTATCCAAGTCCGACTCAGGTAAGTTCTGTTTATAAATACGGACCTTAATCAATAAGACGTTGCGAACGTCTGAAAGTGCGCTTGCTGTACCTTAAACTCGATGTTGGTATGGCGGTAATATTGGTAGAGCTAATTGATTACTATACGGTGCAAGAGAGAGGTCCGACACGCCCAACATAGGGCGCGGCCATTTTGATGCCTTTGCCACAATTTATAGCTAAAGAATCAGTTCGCTCACTCTGCGTCGGCGCTTTTGAACACAATGTTCCAGTTTATATACTGCGCAACTCGGCTAATACAATATATGACAACCGCCTATAATAAAACAGCAGTCTTCTGCGCATCCTGAATCTGTATCCCTGGAGTGGATGTTATTTTGGAACTTCCAACTGATCCGAGTGAGCTAACTAATGACGTTATGATTAACAAATATTGTTATTTTTAACAGACACGTTATTTTTGAACAGGTTGTTATTTCTGTGTGCAGAGATAAGGGAGATAAAGATAGGAAACTCCCATAAGAAGCCAATGCTAAACAACGACCAGCTTTATCGCAGTTAACATCTGACCCACTATGTGGCGCTTTCATCGATATCAAAAAACACAGCGGGAAATTCAAACACCTGATAATAAAGGTTGCATAAATATCGACTGCACTCTCATGTTCTTCTAAATAAACTTAAACAATGTAATTACGCTAAATTATTTATTAAAAAGAATACTACACTTACAGTCTATTATTGATTAATTATTGTAAATCTATATTCATGACAAATATTTTTAAATTTTTGATTGTTATTTGTAACACTGCATTTTTGTTCTTATTTTGGTATCTTATTTAAAAAGGTTGAGTGCAAATTCAATAATGGGAATTCAGATATTTTTCTTCCTATATCAAATCTTTTTTCTAACGTTTTCAAGCCACATTGGGGTTGTTAAATTTGTTCATGTGGCATGTGTGTTACTAATACAATACGTTCTCCGACTTATTGTAATATTACAAAATATAATTACTGTCCTTAAATTTCACACAAAAACAGCCACAACTATTTCGCTTAGTTCATCTAGAGAATAACACAATCATGAACTCAAAATTTTAAATTTAAATTCAGGATTCTTCGATATACATAAAACTGACATTTATTTTTACAAACTGTCCACTGCTGTCCACGTCTACTGTCTTAAATCGTATTTATACGATTTTTTAACTCTGTACGATGGCGATGTACGATTGCATCAGTGAGATCGTATGTAAAAATACGATCTTCACTTTTTTAGTAGGTTTATTTAAATATCTGCAACAACTTCAGAACATAAAACAATAAAAATCAAAAACTACTTGCAAAGATTCATAGGCCGTTCGTAATTTCTTATCGTGATTTTGACCATGGTAATTTTGTACACCGACTATCACGGCATAAGAAAAGCTTGCATTCAAAATTTTAATCAGTTTCAAGTGATTGTCATTGATTACTTATGTTAATTTAAAGTTTCATGTATTTTCTTTAGTTTTTTTTACGTTGTAAACATAAATAAATTATCATGCCAGTTTTTTTTTATTTTTTCATTCCATTTAAGTTATATTATGCTATGCATGTATTTATTGTCGAAATTATTTTTTTCTACTCGTACGATCTCTCAAAAAAAATATTTGACAACACTGGTCTCTCTATAAACGACGTAGATCTGTAGTTAACATCTGAGATGCTAGATGACGCCATCATTGCTGGGGTCGTTGCGTTTCCAATCTTATGTCCCTAATCTCTGTCTGTGTATTTATAAAATAACAGACCTGTTAAAAATAACACAGGTTGTCAATCATAACCCCTTGATGATTCTTTAGCAATAAACTGTGACTCCAAAAATAATATTCACTGACACTGACAACAGCAAGCAAAATATTAAAAATATTGCGCCAAGATGTAGGCAACACGTAATAAGGCATCAAAATGACGGAGTTTTCTATCTCCTTTTAAAAGGCACTCAGAAAGCTGCGCAGTGCGATCATTGTCCGTATAGTAAGAGAAAATCAAAGTATGTAGTAGAGCTTGATTACTATCCGAAGAGTACATTACTTTACAATGCGCAGAAACTAGATTGAATTTATAGGAGGTAGGCGTAGTCACAGACCTCCCAGCGTCTTATTTATAATAGAATGCAACTGTGCAGCATTATAAATACGACGCTGGGAGGTATGTGACCACGCCTATCACCTATAAATTCAATCTAGTTTCTGCGCATTGTAAAGTAATGTATTCTTCGGATAGTAATCAAGCTCTATCTACGCCCACCATGATTCTCTCTCGGGTGTGGTCCCTAATAGTCACATACTTTGATTACTATACGGTGCAAGAGAGAGGTCCGACACGCCCAACATAGGGCGCGGCCATTTTGATTCCTATGCCACAGTTTATAGCTAAAGAATCAGATCGCTCACTCTGCGTCGGCACTTTTAATCTCAATGTTCCAGTTTATACACTGCGCAACTCGGATAACTGATTCTTTAGCAATAAACTGTGACTACAAAAATAATATTCACTGACACTGACAGCAGCAAGCAAAATATCAGGTGCGTTTTAATCATCCGCTTCTGCTTCCGGAATTGTTGGTTTAGTCGTTTTAACCTATCAGATTAAAACAAGAAAACCGACAATTCCGAATCAGAAGCGGATGATTAAAACACACCTATCAAAAATATTGCACCAAGATGTAAGCAACACGTAATAAGGGATTAAAATGGCGGAGTTTTCTATCTCCTTTTAAAAGGTACTCAGAAAGCTGCGCAGTGCGACGATTCTCTAGTAAAAGTAAATCAATGTATGTGCTAATAGTACAGTAATATTACACGAACGTTCCAGAACAGCGTTGCCAGCAATGGAAAAATAAAAGTACTGCAGTGATACTGAAAACGGTATTGATTGAAAATAAAAAGTACTGAGAGTTGCTCCGTCTAAAATGACATAATGACGTTTGAAAAATATAATTTGACATATGAGTGTCATTTGAA